CATACGTTAGTCTCCTCCTCTTCCATCTGCTCCATCACTTTTATTATTTTCATTCTATTACACTTTTTTTCTCTTTCTCTTTCACCTATCCTTCTTGCAAATTAGTCACATATCTTTTCAATACATGACTGGTAGGAGGCTGTACTGACGATTCCCACTCCTACCCGCATGCATCGTTCGGTCTGTGTATACAGCTAAGGGACGAAACACAGACTGCTTCGTGAAACGTCTTATACATGACACCTAATTCCAATCTTCTTACTCCATTATTCTTCGAAGCACCTGCCGTCTTTTGGTGGAATAAAAATACATTTTAATGTTGGAAGAAGAAAGCTCACAGTGTTAAAAAATTAATAAAACTTGAAATGTATTGTAAAATATATTATAATGGTAAGAAATGCTTCGGTCCACATTAAGTCGTATACATTTCTTGCCAATTACCACAGTTGGACCTCGCATCAGCACGACGATTGTGGTGATTAGCATTAATTCTGGTAATTAGCAGGAAGTTGCGGTGGGAAGGTAGTGTCATTCCCCGTTCCAGACTATCTCTCCTACTCGCTATGCCATCATGTAACCAGGCCATTTCTTCCGAGATTCCCCACTTAGCTGTTACTTTTTCTGCAAGTACTGGCACGTGTTGTCAGCAACTACCGGTGCCCCCCACTTTTATCATTCACATTATATCAAATTTGTTACAGGATATTTTTGCAAAAAAAAGTGACCTGAACGCGCTAAATCGGTGCTAAATTCATACATTCCCAAATCGATGCCTCTGTAGGTCCAGTTCGCCCACAGTTTTCCACGAAGCAACCATCGATCCATTGCTGGCTGGGCCTAAACAATAACGAGACCCGCATCAGAAGGAGGAAAATGTCTTCTGTTTTGTGCTGAACAGAAGTTAGATCACTTCACAGCCAAAAAAAAGCACAAGAAGACTGAAGAGACAGTTCATAATTCATCTGAGCGGCACTAAAAGTTGCCCACGGAGGCGCGAAATCCCACCAGACTATGGAACCACCCGAGAGACGCAATCGAAAGGGATAAATCTAGCAAAGGCGGCAAAAAAAAACCCTCGATAAAACGCTGAAACGAGAAAAACGAGGCCCAGTACAGTACTCATAGTTCGAGATTTTATGAGCTGTGAAAATTGAGGATGCGCAGTAATATTCATTCATTACCTTTACAATTTTCAAATAGGACGGCTGATCGGGCCATTTCCTCGTCCACTCGTTCTTGGTAACAATGCGCCCCCGGCCGAGGTGCCGCAGCTGGCAGAGGATCTCCCACAAGAACTTGCCCTCGGCATTCACATCATAACTGCCAATGTATCTTAGATTCTTTGTCATCGAACCTGCAACACAATCGTCCCAGGGCTGGGGATCGGCCAAGGAATTGTGTGGCAACAACGTAACAGGAAGGACGCACAACTAAAAAGCACACAAAACGGAAAAAAAAATATCAAAAAGAAAGAACAAGACAACAGTTTTCAAGCAAAATTGCGAAAAAGGGCAATTTTTTCTCCGAAAAACAAATGGAGAACAAAATGGAACACCCCTCTGACATTTTTTTTCAACAAGAACGAATGAAGGGCAAAAGGCAGAACAAGGACCACCAGCAAAGTCTCGTCCATAACAATGCGCAACGGGCAACTGTTGATTCACCGCTTAAGCACTTCTACATTTTCAACGTGCCACAACGGATAATGAACGAGAGACTTCACAGAAAACAACATAAATTATGATCCCAAAAAATCCACGTGTCCACCAAGCAACCTTGCTGGTCGCTACAGACCGTTCTTCCTCATCCCAGCTGCTCCTACCCGACAATCCTCTTTTTCCTCCCCGCTTCATCCAACCCTAAACCAACAACTGCACGCTGCGCCGCACCAGTCAACCCACGAAGCCACAGCAGTTCACACCTGACACCTCACCGAGGACCAACTCATCCAACCGGCCAACACGCTTCCCCGTTGTCGCATCCCTTTATGAAACCCTCTCCTCCATCCACACAGCCGGCAATTAGTAAACCACGGCTCGGCTCGGCCGGCACTCCGGGAACACCCTAGCTTCTCTGCCAATACTATTTCACGGCGGCCAGTTGCCGGCACCGCCTGGCACTTAGCCAACTGGCGCTGGTAGCGCTACCTAGCACTTGGAGACTGAGTCGTGTGTTTTGGGGGGTTAGGCGTGATGGTGGGGGAGGGGTGCTGGTAGATACGCGCCCAGATGCCGCTTTGGGTGCGGGGTTTGAGGACAGAGTAGAAGATGGGGACAAAGGTACTGGCCAGGACTTCGAGGCAAGAGCTGGGAACAGTTGTAAAGAGAAAGAAACAACACAGCAATACAAAGAAAATTAAATCAGAGAAAACCCGAACTTTAAAAAAACACGAAAAAAAACGAAATCAAATAAACTGAGTCGATGTATAAAAGTTATAGAAAGCGGAAGCAAATAAAAACTGAGAAGGCGAAAGCAAAAAATAAATGGCCAGTGCACCGACTGTCGGTGCGAAACGTTTTTTGTACAGTTGCCCGCAGGTTTTTGACGCTAACGGCATCGATTTTTCCTGCAAATGCTTCCAGCTAAGATAACTGAGACTGGCGTACATGGGTACCACGAGGGTAAGAGCGCCCATTTTGGAGATGGTGGCCCGTACACGTAGATTAAGTTCTCAAAGTTTCAGCCCTGTAGCTTTTACAGCTCTCGAGGTCAAAAATCGGTACAGACACACAGCGCACACACAGACACACAGACGACCTGTCGTCAATATGCGTCTTCTACATACATAGATGCAAAAAACACATAAAACGCAGCAAACGCGAAAACTTATAACTGAAATTTCTTTTATGAAAACTCGCCCGCAGTAGTTGGCTTCCCTATTTATGAATTTGATGCTTAAGTAAAGCTAAGAGCCATCAACTTTATCTACGCAGTTTTACCTAATTCACTCGCAGCTTTATCTAGGCATCAGCTTCATAAATCGGGAAGTCCACAACTGGGTTTTTATTGGAACAATTTCCACTCGCACAGACTTAGACTTTTTTTGTTTTTACTTTTTGCTTTTATTCATAGGTTCACATTTTTATGCGTTTTGTGCTGTGTAACAGCAGTACAAAACGTATACTGTCACAGGATTATCTGCGTGTGTGTTTGTGTGTATGTGTGTGCGTGTCCGCAGCAACTTGTCCGCAACTTTCAACTTGGCAACCACAAAAGCTAGGAAGCTGAAAATTTAAGGGAATGTCCTCCACCCATGTGTGACCCGGCAAATTTAAATTCAGCCTCCAGTACCTGCGGGTAACACGTACGGCCCCACAAAAGTATGGGCAGATAAAATTATCATCACGGGAACCACGGAAGCTAGAAGGCTAAAATTTTGTGGGCATGACCCCTGCCCACATGCGATCCAGAAAATTTAAATTCAGCCTTCTCTTGCACTCCGGTAACACGAACGGCCTCGTGAAAATTTTGGCGGGTAAATTATTATTTCGGGAACCACGGAATCTAAGAAGCTGAAATTTTAGGCAATGATCCCCTGTCCACACACGATCTTACAAATTCAAATTCAGCGCTCTTGTGCTTTCGAGTATCACCTCCAGCCCCGTAAAAATTTTTGAGGGTAAATTATTATCTCGGGAATCACGGAATCTAGGAAGCTGAAATTTTAGCATGGCATCCCTTGCCCACATGCAACTCTGCAAATTTTCAACGCCCTCGTGGAAGTTTTGGCGAGAAAAATCATTATCTCGTGAGCCAGAAGTGTTAGGAGACTGAAAATTTCAGGAGAATGTTTCCTGCCTAAACATGAGCTTCGAAAACTAGAATTCAATTCTTAAGTATGTCGAGGTCTCACGTACGACCACGTAAAAATTTTGTCTCAGTGATCATTTGAAAGTCAGAAAATTAGGAGATTCAAATTTTGAAAGGATATTCACTCTTCGAGGTTTCAAATTCAGCTTTCACATGCCGGTCCGTGAAATTTTTGACTGTTCTTCAGCGTTTCAGTTATTCTTGCACAGACTGAAGTACGAAGGAGTGAAAATCATTAAAAGGCAATCGTTTGGTGGACGGAATTGCAAAAAACGCATGATCGCACAAGCTGTTCTGGTGCGCGCTGCTATTTATTCATTTTGATTTTGCTTTTATTCCTGCGCCCCGGTTTGCTTTACTTTTTTTTTTTTTTGTGTACTGCTTTGTTTTCCTTTTCTCTTTACTGCTGTTTCCAGTTCCTGCCTCGAACTCCTGACTTATACCTTCGTTCCCTCTCTCTACCCTGCCCTCAAATCCCGCCTGCAAAGCCACATTTGGACTCCTCTCCATCCCTCACTATAACAGCATTGTGCAAGGAAGCCCTTTCCCTACCCCAGGTATCCACGAAAAAAACCAGAAGCACACTCCTCATCCTTTCCAACCATTACCTCTCTAAATGTACGCGACCCAGCCAACCGATTCTATGCCATATAGCCATTAAATTCATCTATCCCAGCCTCTTTTCTTTGCCTTCAACGAAATTCAGAACCCCCTCCCTCCCCTCCCTCACCCCTCCTTCCATCTCAAACCTGTCACTTCCGGACCCCCGTCATTCGCCATGGGTAGCCTCACCCGTCATCGTCGGAAAAAATTTTTCGCAGATCGTGTATGACGCAGGCCGAGCCGGGCCGAGTTTTAGTAATCGCGCGCTTATTTATAACGTGTGGAAGTCACGGAAGGGACGTGACAATATCAGTGTTGATCTTAATCTGAGTTCGCTGGCCAGCATATTTGGGAGAGGTGGCTGCTGCTCGTCATGATGGTGTTTTGGCGTGTCCGGCGCGCGCCAGTCTGCTCAGTTTCGGAGCGCTCGACTCGGTCTGCACTTCTGCGTAAGGTCATAGATCAGGAGCGAGGGAGGGGTTGTTCGAGCACTCATTTCAGGTAATTAATTTTGCTTGGCATTGTGCTGTGATGTGGGACTGAGCGGTTCCGGGCCCTCATGTTGCAAAGTCGATGTTGTTTAAACTGGTGGTTGCAGTGCCGGAGGTGCTGAAATGTGTTTTTGGTTTTTTCGTCGGCCGATTTGTCGTCAAAGCCGCACGGTTCAGCTGGTAATACCGGCAGTGCCTGCCCTCATTCCCCCAGGCAATGTGCCTCACATTTCTCGCACATTTCCTGTGCCCTGGTTCTGGTCATAGTACTGCTCAACTGCTGCTTTTCTGTAGTGTATGTTGTAGAGTACTGGGTCACCAGCCGGCCTTGGCTCTGTTGGCCCACTGCAAATTGCTCTTTTACAGCTTTCATGTGCCGTTGTGCCTCTGTTGTGGAGGACGAACTGCTTTGTTGGTCCCTCAGGTCGCTTTGCCCCACAACAATAATAAGTAAATTGTATTTCTGGTTCGTGTCCTCAAGTATCTTCAGTGCGCGCTATTTGGGTAATTATGCTGCCTGCAAATATTGCTAAATGCCCGACTTCGGCGGCTAGCAAGCAGTGAATACCACCAGGCGTTGATTCTTCGGTCAGCTAACGTTATTCCGTCGTTCGGTATCAGCCAACCGCAGACCCACTCGTTTTATCGTCCACTACCTCAAGCTTAAGTAATATAACCTTTATCATACATAAATACGCGCGACACGAACGAATAACGTCGAATACACGTGGATAAACAAAATTCATTAAGGAATAATAAAAGGAAAGATGATCAGCGCCTCGTCGCTTCATCGTCCGTAGTTGTCGTCCGTTCGTCGTCGCGTCCGCCGTCCACCGTCGTCGAATCCGTTAAAATGATAAATAAATGGCAACGCGCACCAGACTAGCCGGTGCGATCACGCATTTTATGCAATTCAGCCGGTCGAACGATTGCCTGTTAATGATTTTCACTGCTTTGTGCTTTAGTCTATGCAAAAATAGTTCAAACTAAAGAAGACCAGACAAAAATTTCACGCACCAGCGTATGAAAACTGAATTCGAAACCTTGAAGGATGAATATCTTTTCGTGCAAAAATTTCATGCACCAGCGTAATAAAGCTGAATTCGAAACTTTGAAAGATGAATATCTTTCCGTGATTCCCGAGTTAATAGTTTACCAGTCAAAACTTTCACAAGGCCGTAGGTGGTGCCCAAGAGCGCGAGAACGCTGAATTTGAATGGGGAAGATTGAGGGTGGGCAGGGGGTCATTATCGTAAAACTTCAGCCGCCTAGGCTCCGTGGTTCCCGAGATGTTAACTTACCCGTGAATAACTTTCACGGAGCTGTACGTGTTACCCACGGGTAAGGTAAGGCTGAATTTGAATGGGCAAGGTTGAGAGTGGACAGGGGGTCATTGCCGTAAAACTTCACCCTCCTAGACTCCGAGGTTCCCGAGATATTAACTTACTCGTGACTTACCCGTGAAAAACTCTCACGGGACCGCACGTATTACCCGCGGGTAAGGGAAGGCTGAATTTGAATGGGCAAGGTTGAGGGTGGGCAGGGGGTCATTACCATAAAACTTCTGCCTCCTAGACTCCGTGGTCCCCGAGATATTAACTTACCCGTAAAAAACTTTCACAGGGCCGTACG